GAGTAAACAAAGGAAATATGTCAGTTATGGGACAAAATGTGTTAAATTGAGTGTTTTATTTCAACTGTCTTAAGTATGAAGATGTTTTCTTTGATGTTTTGTATTTGAAGAACATGCACRTCACAGACACTTTAAACCACAAGCAGAGGACTGAACTTTGTTTGTTCTGCAGGAGAAGAAGTCGTCATACGTGAGGGGTTGTTGCCGCAAACAGGGTGAAAACCTGGAAGTAAACTGTAAACTGTGCCATTTTCTCCTGCAGTTCTCACAGGACTGTACCATGACTGAGAGGAAACTGAGCCTTCATGAAGTCAGATGGTATCATCCTCTGACTACAGCTCTTTGTTTGTTTCTGCAGCCAACACTCTTCCCTGAATGATCCACACTAAAACAATTAACACCTGATTACATTCAATTTAACAATTTGGATGGTAATCTGCATGTTTTAAACATTTTTTAGGCCTAAACTTTAGATTTTAACATTTGAGACTTCCTTAGACTCTTTAAGAGCCTGCATGAACCCCGACAGCAGCTRAACAGCAGCTAAAACAAAGCACCTGAAGCTACAACAAGCAGAACAGATACAAGCTAAAGCTAGCCTCTAGCATGCRGTGGATACAAGGTAAAGCTAGCCTCTAGCCTGCGGTGGATATAAGCTAAAGCTAGCCTCTAGCCTGCGGTGGATACAAGGTAAAGCTAGCCTCTAGCCTGCAGTGGATACAAGCTAAAGCTAGCCTCTAGCCTGCAGTGGATACAAGCTAAAGCTAGCCTCTAGCCTGCAGTGGATACAAGCTAAAGCTAGCCTCTAGCCTGCGGTGGATACAAGGTAAAGCTAGCCTCTAGCCTGCGGTGGATACAAGCTAAAGCTAGCCTCTAGCCTGCGGTGGATACAAGCTAAAGCTAGCCTCTAGCCTGCGGTGGATACAAGGTAAAACTAGCCTCTAGCCTGCGGTTGATACAAGGTAAAGCTAGCCTCTAGCCTGCAGTGGATACAAGCTAAAACTAGCCTCTAGCCTGCAGTGGATACAAGCTAAAACTAGCCTCTAGCCTGCGGTTGATACAAGCTAAAGCTAGCCTCTAGCCTGCAGTGGACTCACGTACCCTGACCAGAGCGTCGTCGATGATGTGGTCCCTGCGGACCTTCAGCCTCAGGTAGGGGTTGAGCTGCTGGCCCTGCACCAGGCTGTAGAGTACCGTGATGCGCCGCTCGCTGTACATGCGGATGCGGTTGTCGTAGTACAGGCCCAGGTTCTTGGTGACGGCGTTCAGGATGAAGGGGCACGTCATGAAGGAGAACTTGTTCTCCGTCTCCACCTTGAAGAAGGTGTAGTCCTTGTCCATCTCCAGCACCTCGTTCAGGGGCTCGTTGATGAACTCCTCGAAGGGGATGAGCGGYCGCCGGCAGTCGTTGGTGCGGATCCCCAGCTCCGTCTCCAGAGGGTCCACCCGAGGGCCCTTCTTGTTGCGGCGCTCCTCGCCCAGCAGCTCCTGCAGCGTGAGCTCGCTGGACTCGGGGATGGGCTCGTCGTCRTCGTCCTCGTTGTTCTCCACGTCCAGATCGCCTCCCAACACGTTTGCATAGTACACTATCTTCAAGCACTTGGTGGCCGCCACCACGGCRTCGTCGTCGTTGACCAGGTTGCGGCTGCTGAACTCGTTGCTGATGACCTTGAAGGTGGTGAGCTGCTGGAAGGTCTCCATCATCCTGCGGATCTGCTCGGCGCTGTAGTGGGACCAGAGGCGGGCCAGCCTGGCCTGGGCGGCCAGCGGCAGCTTGCTCATGGCCTTGCAGAACTGCGGCAGAGCGATCTCCAGGTACTCGGGGCTGTGCAGGTTGCTGTTCTCCATCACGATGACGAACAGGTTCAGGTAGTTGGGGTCTCTGGAGTACACGTTGTGGTACGCCAGATCACACTCAACGTTTGGCGAGAGGTAGACCAGAGCGTTCAGGAAGGCGGCCTCGATCTTCTCGTTGGACAGGAGGCGCTCGTAGACTCGCCGCACGGCTTCGATGTCCACYGACACCTCATCCGGCGCCAGCTTCTGGACATCGTTTTCTCCCGAGGAGCCCTCGCCCAGCCTGGACGATGAGGAGGAGGTGGGTGAGTCCTCGTCCATGGCTGTGGCTGAGCACGCTGCTGCCTCCTTCTCGTCTTCATCCTTGTCCTCATCCTTCACCTGGAGAGACTTCAGCTCCTCCTTGGTGTGAGGTTTGCACCTGCGGAAGCTCTGCACCAGGCCCTCAGAGCTGGAGAAGACCCGACCTATGACCCGGATGAGAGGGGAGTAGTCCTCCTTCTCTCCACAGATGTCTAGGATCTCGTAGACCTTCTCCTCTGTCAGGTAATTCACATCTGCACACACAAACACAGCGTTTGTAAAAATGAACAACAGGTATCTGAAGTGATGAGTTGACATTAGGATCAGTTACCAGGTATAGACAGAAAGATTATATTCAGGTTGACCTGTTAAAGTCTGGTTGTCCACCAAACTCTCTGGT